GGCCGGCAAAGCAGCGGTGCCGGCCGGCACAGCAGCGCTGGCCGAAACAGCCGCGCTGGCGACCGTGGAGCACCTCTGCCCGGGAATTTCCTAGTCTGTGGGCAATAAAAACGCGGCGTCCACTCACCCTCTGCGCTTTCACTGGGAGCTGCAATCCTGAGCTGTTCCTAAACGGCCATCTTGGATCGTCTCCCAGTGCTTTTTCTAGTACACTCATAAGTGGATGCTGAAATCCCAGTGCTTTTTCTAGTACACTCATAAGTGGATGCTGAAATCACAACCTGGCCATTTGGATGTTCAGCTAATGCTTTATGCCGCAGAGTCACTGGAACTCACCAACCCGTGCCAGAACTCACCGGTTCTCAGGTGTGTAGCACTACCTTGTTTCTCTATGCCTGGGAGTGCAAACATTGTTGATGTGTTTATTTCCCATTTTTTACTTTAGAGATTTTGTTTTGTGAGACAAGATCTCACTCTGTCATGCAGCCAGAAGTGTAATCGTGGCTCACTGTAGCCTTGACTTCCCGGGTTCAAGCCATCTCACCTCAGCCTCCAAAAGTGCAAGGAGTATACAAGTGTGAGCCACTGCACCTGGCCTACTTTTGAGCTTTGAGTTCTTTATATATTCTAGAGATGAGTCTCTGGAGATGAGTCCTTGGACTGACAGGTGGTTTGTAAACATTTTTTCCAATCTGTAGCTTATCTTTCTGTCTTTCTAATCGAGTCTTTCAGAGAGCAAAAATATGGTCTTTCTTGGCAATACTCTGCCGCTGTAGCGGGAGAGCAGACACAGACAGTATGTAAATGAACATGTGGATGTATCCCTTGAGTAAGTGTCCATTTGTGGTAAAGCGATCTCTAGCCAGATCATTGCTGAGAGGTTATTTCCTTCAGTAATAGTTGAGCTCGGGATCATCTCTAACCTCATGCTTACTTTCTCTTACTCCACTGACTTCCATTGCTGCTGGTGGGAAAGCAATTGTCAACATGTTCTTCCTTCTTTCCACCCTCCTCAGTAGCTTTTAGGACCTTTTCTTTGTCTTTTCTGCAATTGTGTTTGGATGGGTCTAGGTATGGATGGATTTATTGTATTGGGGATTGTGCCTCCTGACTCTAAAGGGTCCTGGGTCCTGTCTCTGTTTTCATTCTGGA